GAATGATCAAAGCTAAAAGTTGCCATCTGTAACATCCGAGTGAATTGGCATTCTTTAGCCACTCTTTAATCTAGAGAAAAAGACTCAAGTGGGACAGCATTACCAGTTCTCAAGCATGTAATGCGGTTGCAGAGAGCAAGGTAATAAATTGTTTTCTGTACCCGCAGATGGCAGAAGGAATAGCAGTAATGGTTTTAAATTGCTGCAATAAGCATTCGTGTAACATATCAGAAAATCTTCCAGCGAGGGATATAATAAAATAATCAGAATAAACCAAACCAAAAGGCTTTAAGAAGAGGTTAGACAAAGAATTGCTAAGGAACAATGTAGGGGTGGTGTGTTTATTTTATTTGTACATTTCATTTAAATACATTCACAGATAACCAGCTATCTCCAAAATGTCTTCCACTCTATTCCTGTCTATGAATTTCCATAGTAAGTACACATAATACAAGTGAGAAAACAAATAATTTAACATACTTTTGCCCCGATGGTAATTCTATTTCCGTGGAGCCAAACTCACAAGCTTACAAGCAGCATATTGGTCAGAGAACCTGAAACATTGCTCACTGGCATCAGAAATTAAAAAGATGAAACAAAGCCAACGGAAGAAGCAGAGTATAACGTTACCTGTAAAACATTAGACATCCTGAATTACTACCTACAAGCCAGCAAACAGGGAAAAAATATTGCCTAGAATCCTGTCCATAAGTGTATCAGCGTCAAATTTACATACAGATCATCAAGTACCAGTACCACGTAAACCATCATTTCAAATCCAGTCTACGCCAGTGACAGTATTCCCAACAGTTCACAGAAAGGGCTGCGGATGCAGCTTTCTATAGGTACTTTTACTCTTCTCCTGTTACTGTGTTAAAGCTCAAGATTATCTCGTGGAAGCTAAAGATCAGTATCACTAAACCACTATGAGAAACAGGCCTAATTAACAAAAAACACGTTAGAATTAGACCATGCTGGTGGTCTGCCTCGTAAAGGCAAAGAAATAGAGCTCACAAACTACACAAGCTGCAGGCGAATTCTCCATCTATTCATAACCTTAGAGGTGTGCCTCCTCTGGCTGTTTTTAACTCTATGCATTTTGAACTTAAAACACAGACCAAGTGAGAGACAGAACAAAAGATTATCTCCCGAAAATTACTTTCCTGCCAAGTACCCATAGCAAACTTGTGCAAGGTCTAAACATTCAAAGGAACAAGTAAAAATCCATTGCCTATTTTCCCAGTTAGTAGCATTCTCTTATCTAAAATTAAAGTGACAAAAAAAAAAATTCTAACTTTTTGGAAGGAAAAAGGCTAAACCCCTGTTCTCCCACAATTTTTTTTGTAAACTATAGCTCATGTTTTGCTGTAACCTTAATCACTTTTTATAGAAATAAACACTTGTACCATACTTGTTTTAGTTTTTTAATTCCTAGATCCTGTATAAGCAGAAAGTGGAGGAGGAAGGCCACTATACATAACCAGCTTAAGAACATCTTAAATAAAATATTAAAAAGGGAAGGGGTTTCTACCGATTGCTGCAGCACCAAGGTTTTTTTTCCCCCTCCAACCTTGTCCACGTGTTGCACGCTTCCCAAAGCTGCCCTAGTACTAACGCCTCAGTATGACCCATCTGCTTGCTGCCCAGCAGCAGAAGGCTCAAAAAAAATCTTTAAGCACTAAGAGGCCTCAGCTGGGAGGATCACTTCACATTCACCATTCTCTTTCCTAAGTTCTTAAGAAATGTAGAGACGTTGTATCAGCTTCCAGCTCCCCAGAGCCAGAGAACGGCCTTTAACCGACTAGTGACCCCGAGAAGGAAGCAGAGGTAGCCTCTCAGTGACCCCATCCCCCAGGAACACACCTCTCTGCCTCCCCCCGCCCCGCAAAGCCCCTGCCGTCCATCCCAATTCGCGGAGGC